ACCAGACTGACCTAACTTATCGTCTAAAATAAACCATTTCGGAGTTCCGAAACCTTCACTTTCAATATGAGGCTAAGTGCATGACCTCTTTGCATGATATTAAAATAATTGCTCCGCACTAATGGCTGCGCACTCAACCTCGTTTTAAAACAGAGGCTTTGTACCTTTCGGAATGACCCGTCCACGAAGGTCTCACTTAATATTCTCTTTTACTCTCTTTAGGTTTCGCGAGGTTCCCTCTTGTGGCTTGGACCCGGAGGAGAACTGAAGGCATCTTGGAAATCACTAGATTCCGAGAGTGGCATATCCAAGACTGAATTCTGCGTAGGAACAGTATCCAATGGCTGCCAAGTTAAAACTATGACCAAAATAACCAACAATGAAACAGAACTAACCTGCAATTACTGTGACTTAAGACACCAAGAAACATATTACATCACCATACGAGTTCAGAACGGCGCAGGGCTGTTTACATTGGCAACAACGGACGAAGTAAAGGTGGACTTCACTCCACCGTCTGTCGGTAAAGTGCTGCCGGCCACTGACGTCACATCATGTGTGACAAACTGCACCCTGGTCTCTAACGTCACCTTCTTCCAGGACGAGGAAAGTGGTGTAAAATTATGCAGTTACGCTATAAGAAACAGTACAAACTTGATTGGCGACTTTGTAAATAATGGTTTGAAAACGACCATAGCAGCGACAGGGCTCTCGTTAGTTGCAGGTGAAAGGTACCACACCGTTGTGAGATGTGAAAACAATGTTGGACTTGTCACAGAAAGATCATCTACTACACCAGTCTTGGTTGATGACACTCCACCAACTAAGGTTAGCCAAATATCTTAGGGAACAAAACAGGCGGCCTGTATGTGGCAGTAAATTTAAGGAAATTATGTTGACACTTTCTAGTATGGATCGGGTGATTTGATTTCTAGTACTCATCGGGATTAGTAAACTCTAGTCTATGTTTTTTTAAAAACAACGAACTACAACGCTCTTCATCCGAAAAATAAAGAAGTGTTCTATCATTAGGTCGAATTAAGACGAACAACACCGTTTTGGATAAGAAAGTTAAAATTGTCTTTAAATTATGAAGAGAGGCGGTTTTCCTTAGGAGGGCTTCGATTTACAAGCACCTTCTCCGCAAAACATGTTACCTTGTTCAGTTTGTTGTTTTTTTTTGTCTGTTCAACCTATTGGTTTTTTTGTTTTTTCCCTGACAGGGTTCGGTAATAGTAAGCCCAGACCGCACGCATGACGTTTTTGGACTTCACTCCAGCTGCCACTTATTCAACCAAACACTGCGGGCTCACTGGTTTGGGTTTTACGACAAAGAATCAGGTTTGAGCGGATTTCGCGTTGCAGTCGGCAGTCATCCAAACGCAACAGACGTTCTTTCATTCCAAGACGTCGGTGTCACGACAAATGTCACGCTACCTCTTAATGACATTAACGCGTTGTTTGAAGGAAGCATTGTTTACGTGACAGTTGAATCACGCAATCCAGCAGGTCTAGTTACGCAGAGTACATCGCCTCCTACAAGGTTGATTTCGGCAAATAACGACGAGTATATGGCGCAAGGAGACTTTTTCTGTTATAATGTTTAAAATGACGACATGATGAACTGATGGCTAGACTATTTAGAATGGTTATTTTACATTTTTTTTTTCTTTGCTTTTTCATAGTCTAAAAACCCTGATGGCGTGTAAAGTAAGTTAAGTGAATTGATACAATGAGAGATACTGATCAATTAGAGACCCAAATGTTAGGAATGAAAATAGTACTTGCACACGTGGAAGTGAAGAACACTGACATGTATAGCTGCGTAACGCCTGAAGGGCAAATCGCATTCGTCGTTCGCACATTGCAGCTGATTCACGCGTCATGATGCGCGCTTTGTTTCGATTCAATTTTGTCTTGCAGAAAAAGTTATCTTCCTTGAAAAGCGAACGTAATCGAACAATTTCATCCGTGATACATGTGCCTTTCTTTGCTATACTGAGTCAAATTACTTTTATATTGAAGAAAATTTGCAACTTACTTTTCACAGAAATGTCAAGTGGAAATTAAAAAAGCAGCAAATGGACAAGTGTACATTAGAAAAAAACCTGAATAAAGCGACTACGAGTGAAAACTCTTACACTCACTGATAACCGATTGGTTAACCATTCGCGAAAATACTTTTGCCAAGCGTAGCTTTCGCAGAGAACAGCTTGAATTAGTGTGAAATCGAACTACCGTATATTCCTCATTGAATCTTTGCAGGATCCGTGCATGTGCATGTACTCGCCTGTTAACACTTGAATGAACCCGTAAAATACTGACGTAACGCTATGACACTGAAGAACCAGCAAGACGCCTTAATTCTGCCTCAAACCCCCGCGACCCTCTGTAAACGCGCTTACAGGCAGTGAGAATTTAAGCAATCGCGAGGTGGTTTATTTTTATTGCGCCTTTACTTCAAAATATCTTACTTGATAATCTATGTGAGAACCTGTGAAGAGACCCACAAGCCCTGTATCATTTCTTAATGACTAGATCTCTTACGCAGAGAGAAGAAATTCTACCGTCGTATAGTTCCGGTTTAAGCATTTCTTTAACGGGCTCCAAGTGAGGGCAGTCGATAATTCGAATGCAGTGAAGCCTCGACGCACTTATGTCCAAATCGCGAAGATTTGAGCACGAGTCTATGGAAAGGTTCTCCACACAAGATACATGTAAATTGAAACTCTTCATGCTAGAACAACGCAACAGGCTTAGTCCGCGAATAGTTTTGCACTTAAATCGCATATTTCGTTGCTTGTTCTTGTGCGCTAGGGAACAATTTTCAATGATCAAGTAATCCACATCAGTTGAATTAATAATAGCCAAACCTATGGTCAGACCAGTTAAGAACACCGTCCCCACTCTACGCGACGCATTGAGTTCCACAATCAGCGGTCTCTGCCACGGCTGTAGGCCCGTGACTTGAATCATATGAGCTTCGATACAGTGCACAGTGACGCGATTGGCGCTTCCAATGTCAAAAATTTGAACCTTCTTGAGAGAGTTGGCCGATATCTCGATGTCGCAGCCGGCCACACTCTTACTGTTCTTTTGTTTTTCGGGGAATACGTCTCCAGAACATTTGAAGTATTCCAGGGTTGGACAATCCACTTTGAGCTTTGACAGACTCATACCCACATCACGAATTGTAAGCTGTATTAAGCTATTGCAGTGTTCTCTGTCAAGCTCAATAACGCTCCAGTCCACGGATACTTCCATTTGTCTTATGTTTGGGCATTCTGACAAGAAATCCTTAAAGGAATCTGGTTCAATTGCAGGGCACTCGTACATCAGCAAGTCATGTAAACCCTTGCAATGGGCCTTCACTCTGGAAAGCTGACAGTTTCCTTGCAGAATAAAAGTCAAAATGTTTGTTGCGAGAATCTCAACAGAAGTCAAGTAATGGCATTCTGATATAAGTAAAACTTCCAAGTTAGGAAGCACACATTTTAGACTATCGATATTTCTACTTGGTAAGCCGGTTAAAAACAGCGTTGCAAGACTGCTCGATTTCAGAACTAAAGAATTTGAAGAGGTAGTGTTTGTTCCGTCTGCAAAAGCAACAAAAAGCTGCTTCAAGAACTTAAAATTCTCCAAATAACTCACTAAGTCGGAGACACCTATAGGTAGGTAGTGTAAATCAAGGCTAACAAGAGTAGGGGAGTGGCGAGAGTTCATCAAAGCCTTGATTGGTGGGAGCGACACACTTTCTTCGCTTGGAAGATCTTCCATACCATAAGGAGCGCATTCAAGGTGCAGTTCCTTCAGCTTGAGCTCATCCAGTATAGGAACAATTCCATGTCGACAGAGCTTAAAAATGTTTATATTCAGAGTCAATGATTCCAAAGATTTGAACTGACGCGCAAGGACTCTTAAATCCCACACTCGAATCCCGCGCTTATGAATGCGTAAACGTCGATTGCCGAAGTGTGAACGTCTTTTAACAAGCGCCCTGTAGTCATCGATTGTTAAGAACTTGAACACAGGTGCACTTTTCAACGACTGCGCAAAGACTCTACTCCACGAGAGCACGGGAATGTCAAGTCTTGTCAAGTTTGGGAGTGAGGTGAGTAATCTCCTGACTTCAGTACGAGTGAAATACGTCTGATCTTCTGCTCTTATGCATTGAATAAAATGACCATATTTCTTAAAGCAGTGGCACAATATACTCGCATAGTCATCTTCAAATTCCTGATGGGCGTCTCGGTCGTCATGAAGGTGAATATGTCTCCACAGAAGTCCAGTGTTTTGAATGATGCGCTCCCACCTTCGACAAATTGTGCAATACCGTGGAAGGTCTTCGTATATCGGATGAAGGTAAGATAATATCTGTGCGATAAGTTCACCTGGTAGGATATCCATGTAAGGGAAAAACAAAATGTAGCAACCCGATTGCTCTTTATGTGATCCAATGTCGATTGTTACGGGAAAAAGTCGTTGATAAGCTCGCGCGCACATGAATAACTGTCGCGCGCGTTTGTGTTCAACGTCACCATTTTCAAACTTGTCGCGCGCGCACAACTTTGGCCTAAGTGCGTACGAAAGAAAACGCGCCGATTGAAGAAATCCTTTCCTGGATATACCACACATGTCCCCTTAATAAAACTACAGGTTTATGAAAGAATCTAGATAAATGCGAGGGGGAAAACTTAATGCTGACTTCAAAAAAGTAAACGAAGGCCAAAGGGCGAGAAATGCAAAAGAAGAAAGAAAAAAGGAAACAGTGATTGAAATAGTCTGAAAACATTGTATTTGAAAAATCTTGAGTTTAGATTTTTCAGGTCATTAAGACTGCCTCAGGTAATTCATTGTGATTGACTGATAAATCAGATTATCTAGGAACTCCACATTTGCTATTCATTTAATGATTTTTATCGATCTATTCCTTTCAGTCTTATCTATTAATCATCTTGTCGCCTACGTTTTTGTGTTAGAGCTATTAATAACCAAACAAGTTAACCATGACAATCTCGGCTGTTTATTTCCTCAAGAACTTCTCAGTGGTTGGTTGAAGATCGTGTGCCCAAGACGTTAAAAATATTGCACAGAAGCTTAGGACCAACGGGCTTTATAACATCTGTTCATAGATAGTTCAGATAGATGCATTAATAGAGATACTAACCTCACATTCAATCGGTTAACTGAATACCTAACATCTCTGGGTCTATATGCGAGGGAAAGTTTCACGATTGTCAACTTTTATCATCTCGTGAAATTAAGAACTGACTGAGATCAGAGTACTTCAAGCCAACGCATTATAAAAAACAACAACAACAAAACAATACTTGGGTGTAAAGGGGTATTTTTTCCAGTGTCTTTGGTGGAATTTGAAACTCTGTCCAAAAGTCATCTTTTTTTTCCGCTGGTTGGTATGCAGCTTACGTCATTCAAGTTTGACGTCCAATTTCAAACGCGGTTTCAACACAACTTGGCTGACGAGGTTTTGTCCAAGCCATTCTCGTTCAGGAACATTACCTGAACACTGTGCAGAAGGTACAATTCGCTCCAGTAACTACACCAGGACAGCTCTTACTTTCTTTCAAAAGTAAATAACCCTCGTTTCTGCGTGCCTTGTCAAGCAAAAACAAATCGTAGCAGTAACATCTATCCATGCACGGTAATTTAGGCCTACTTTCACAAACCGAGGCCGCAGCAAACCCGATAATTACAGAATGAAGTCAGGGGTTCCACAACGCTTCTTTGGCATTTCGAATGGCCTTCTCCGCATCCTCATTGATCTTCTTACACTGGAGCATCACATCTGAAACACAAAAGATTCATAACAGCTTCAGAGCCGAAGACTTGCTTTGGAATTTTTTTTTTCCGGCAGTCTGACTGGACTTTAACAAACAGATGGCTTGTATTAGATTTGTTACCTTTCACATATTTGTAAAAGGCATTCACGAATGGAATGCGCGTGTTGTACTGCTACACGAGTGAGTGGTAACGTATGAGTCGCTTAGTGCATGTCTCTGAACTAAAATCTTTTTTCACAAGAAAACGAAAACTGACATCTACATGTTTTAAAACCTTTAAACTCCTGCAAGTAGAGTGCTAAGGTTAAGATGGACACAGAGTCTGCACTTACATATTAGAATTCAGAGGCCAGTAGAAAACAACAGAAACGACAAAAACAACAAACACTTGTCAACAACAAAACTTACCACTAAATCCTTTTTCAGCTTCCTCCACACTCTTATCTTGCATTGAAGTATGCGGCAGAGAAAGCAGTTTATCTATTGGATTTGGCATCAGTTTTAAATCAGTAACAAGGTTAATCAGATTAACCTTCAAAACACAAATAAACAACCAATAGACATTCAAAACAAGGTAAACTTCGATAAACAATAACACCAAAAAGAAAATCGAATTCTCATAGATAATGTAGAGACAAAAAAGGCAACAATTTGGTGACTGGATCATTTAATGAGTGGTATAATTTTTTTATGCATGTCGTACAGTACAAGCACATAACTCTTTGACTCACAAAAAACTGAATGGATGCGAAGTAAAGTTGTCACCTGTATTCCATGGTATTGTTTTGAGAGCAACTCCATGTTCTGTTTGCAAATCGTTATCTGCAAAATTAATATGACCAAGAAGTAATAATTCAGTGTGAGCCCGCATAAATAATGGTAATCATGAAAAAAAAAGAAAAAAAAAATAGAAAAGAAGTTCAGTTGTTGCTCCTAGACTAGAGAATGAGGCCAAAGACCAGAAAAAGTTTAAACACTACATATGAATTTAACCTAAAACTATAAAATGTTTTAAGATTTGAGGAAAGCTCATTCACTCATGTAACGGAATCTACAAACTATTTAAATAGCCTTGCGATTAATTCATCCTTTCAGCGGGAAGTGTCATTCATTTGTAGTTGAAGAAAAATGCAAGTTACCATCAGAAGCCAGGCATATTTAGACAAACAAGTACTTACAGGGTAACATGTTCATTATTTTACCTCTGAGAATTGCATCCAGTTCATCACACATCTCATACAGGTCTGCTCCTTTGCCACTAACACGTTCACCTTGAGGAACAAACCAACACAAATAAGAAATTAGGCAACACTTTTTTATCATTCTTGGAAGCCAGGAGACTGGCATATTAAAATTTGCCCTAACAAGAAGAATTACAGTAAAATATAAAAGAAAGAGAACAATTGGATTTTAGCAGTAGCACCTCAATAGGTGATTCTTTCTTCTTTCTACTTCCCTTTGATAAAGAATGAAGTCACAGCATTGAAAAAGTAAGAGCTTAAATCAATTACCATCAAGAGTCCTGAGCTTTGGTAAAAGTTTACACACCACTTTCTTGTAGTTCTCTTGAGAGGCACAAACTGAAACAAATGAGGCAAACATAGTGACCAAATGTGGCATTCACTGCCAAAACAAGATGCAAAACAGCATGCCATTTTTAAAGGGTGCAAAAATAGAATATAGAAAATTATGTTCCACCATGCCCATGTAACAATTATTAAAATTGAACTACATTTGAGGGCACAGTTTTACATCAGATTTACATGTGAAACACAGAAAAGTTTCAGGTGCTTTACAGCTAAGTACTTGTGTTGACAGGGAAACTCAATAATAGATTTACTGTGAGAAATTTTAAAGGGTGCAAAAATAGAATATAGAAAATTATGTTCCACCATGCCCATGTAACGATTATTAAAATTGAACTACATTTGAGGGCACAGTTTTACATCAGATTTACATGTGAAACACAGAAAAGTTTCAGGTGCTTTACAGCTAAGTACTTGTGCTGACAGGGAAACTCAATAATAGATTTACTGTGAGAAATTTTACTATCAATCAATGTTATCATTTTCCCATTTCAAGAGGTGGACATATTGACTTGAGCAGTGACAGTAAACATAAATCTCAGTCATTTTTGGGGTTCATTTTTCTGAATTTTGATCAAACTCTGCCCTTACCAGGATTTGAAAATCCTTGTACTGAGTCATGAAGTCTAAGCACTCGCAAATGATCCAGTTTGGTCAAACATGAAAGGCTGTTAACACTGCAAAGATGAAAAAAGTTATTAAAGTAACCTATAATCCAAAGAGGGACTTACCATCATATATATATGAAGAGTGCATGAAAGATAACTATTTACTTAACCTCAGAATTGAACATTCATGCATTCTAACTGCCTGAATATAACAAGTTCATCTGTACAACCAAACAGCAAAGGACTTCAATTCAAAATTCCAGCCGAATTGGACAGAGAAAACTCAACAGGGAAAGGACTCAGAGGAACACCTCAATAAACTTAGCACTGAAGTTAAAACAAAATATTAGAACCATAAATAAGGTCTACCAAGAAAATGACTTTGTTTTCTTAGAGATGTACATGTATGTAGTCTTCTGTTTTAACTGCCATTTCCTGCCAGTAACTGCCATACTCCATGTATACAGCTATCACTTAATATATGCAATCAAATTAGTTAAGAGAGTGGTTCAGATCAAATGAAAAGCTTCTTAACCCCTTCACTCCCAAGATCTTATTAGTAATTCTCCTTACTATCTGCCATACAATTCTTATGATGTTAGTTCAGAGAATTTGGTAATTTTATCAACTACTGTAATAATCCTGTAATTGATATTCTTCTCTATTCTCATCACCTACCTGCTTGATATTGTGTGGATATTGTAAGGAGAAATTTTGTCTTGGTCACTTGTGGGAGTGAAAGGGTTAAGATGTTTTTCAAAGTACCTCTCCTTCTTTGTAATAATGTTATAAGCTTCTGGAATGCTTATATACCGGTAGATGCAATGTAGTTTGACAAACACACAGCTATAGTGATGCAACTGGGTAAAATTAAAGTAATTGAACAGTGTATAAACTGTACAGTTGTAATTGAGTTGAAATTCTTAACCTTGTTATCATGTTGCCAGACAAATTCAAAGAAGATATATTTGAAAGTTCTTCAATTCCATCTGCAAACAATCAAAGGAAAAAGTAAACTCAATCTACTTCGTGTGACTAATCACAAGATAGGCTGCAACTTAATTTGGATCAAATTAACAAAAATGCTTATCTAAAATATTGAACCATATATGGAAGCAGATGTGTAAATGAATAATTTGCACTGTGAATCATAATAACCATAATCTTTCTTCAAAATCTGAAGGTTCTTTGGTTGATAATTTTTACATCAAACTTGATTCACACCAGTTTAAAATGGTTAATGTTTTCACAATTCTTATCAAATTATTCTAATACTTACCGAGGGAGGAGAGTTTGTTGCAAGAAACATTCAATGTCTCAAGGAGCTTTAGTTCACCTGAAGAGTAAAGTCAGATTTATATTACGTATCTATGTATTGAATAATCATATGAAAAAAATACAGTAGGTTTATACATGTACCTGTTTTGTTTTAAATGTTTCATTACACATGTGCTTTCAAAATCACCTCTCAGAGGTAAATGTAGAAATATCATTAATCTTTTTTTAATTCCATGTACATAAAAGATCAATGACTATATAAAATTTGCAACTTTGCCATTTTTGTCACTTTTGATGAAAATCACTTCCACACATTTAGTCAAAATTTCATCATGTGCTCCTTTATTTTGGTTGGTGCTGAGATAACTTCTTTACTGACTGATTTTTACTTTAACCCTTTACACTCTGACATTGATATTCATATTCTCTTTACTGCTCTCTCCACATTTCCTCAAGTGTTGACAAGGAGAATAACTTTTACAATCAGGAGCTTCTCAAATTGGCTATCATTTCCAAATTATTCTTGTGACCATTACATGCACATTTGAATCAAGGGTGATATTGTGTGGAGAAGTTAGATGCCATTCACTCTTGGGAAATGAAAAAGGGTAAAGATTGATAGCACTCACAATTAGATCTTTGAGTGATTTAGAATTGAAAATTAAAATATCTCATAAGAAACATTACATGCAAGCACATAACATTAAGTCAAGAAAAAGTATTTGTTTTTTAATTTTTTCAAGGAATGCCACAAAAAATAGCTAGTAGTGTTACCCACTCAAATGACTCAGATCAGAGAGGCTGTTATCAGAAATGTCCAGATGCAGAAGTCCCATACAGTCACCAATACAGCTGATGTCCTGTAACCCTTGTTGGAACATAACAATCAGAATAAGTAATTTGAAATTAATTTTTCAAGAAATGTGCACATGAGTCACCCTCTTTGATCCTTCCTACAGCCTTCATAATTGATGCTGTAAGGCTAAGCTACAGTAACTCTTTTCAAATGTTTTGTGGGAGTCATTTTGTTATCCTAGATGGCCATGGCTTGTAAAACAAGCTGGCAGCATTTGAGGGAAAGATTACCCGTTCTTCCTCAGATTGAACTCCTGTGCTGCAACCAAAACACTACACATGTATGAGCTACACCAGAAATATTTTCAATTTAATTATCAAGATGAACATACCCATTCCACTGAGATCCAGGAAACTGATGCTCTCCAGATCAAATTCACCAGTTCTGCTCTTAAGCAAATGGGAAGTTAAGACTGAAGACTTTGAGCCTGGAGTAAAGTAAAGGAAAAATTGACTCAGATGATTGTATAATTACCCTGAGACCAAACCCAACAAAGAGACCATGTGTTTGTTTTTGTTGGGTTTGTAACAGCTCGTTTCATGATATTACATTTATTGTTATCGCGGATAATCAATTTTTAATTTGAGCATTTTAAGTCCAAGACCTGAAGCCACGATCAAACGGTTCGCGAGCAGCTCTTGGTCGTTGCCTTAACAGTGGTTTAGTTGTTGAAATTTTAGTTTGGTGGGTTACATAAGTTTACTGGCTAATATCACAAACCAGATCCACAGCTCTCCAGAAGGAAAAGAGAGGAAGATATCTGGCGAGGAATGTCTAGATTTAAAGCTTTGATCGCCGCTAGTGCTAGCTTTCCAAATTCATTTAGATGCGCGACATTATAAAGCCTCTGCGAACGCTTCTTGCCGACCTCAGGTTCTAAAAAGGCCATAGCATTACCTCCAGCCCTCGCCATGAGTTTACTCCCAAACCACTTATCTCAATTTTCTGCTTCACGACAACGAAAATTGTGATCAACTTTCATCTTCGGCGCCATGTTGCTCAGTCTCCCTCGGTCAAATGCGTTTACAGTTGAACAAAGATCGATACCTTCTTTGCAGATGATGGCATAAGTGCAGACAAAGGTTCACTAAGGATTGAACAGAAGCTAGGAGAAGATTTTTGCTCTCTGTCATTTAGAATAACGAGCGAGGATCTACGGGCCTCTGAGACCGTAGGAGTCCCCCACATTTTCTCGCTCCCCCTCCCCCCTCCCCCTTATTTATCGCTCGCTCCTTTCGTCAAATGGGCGCGACACCTTACAAAGAAAACCCTTTCGCCCCAATCCTTTCGTTAGTTTTGGCGAGATTTTGAAACAAAACAAGCAAGAAAAATACCAGAAAGGAGTTTTAGCTCGCGCAGTAGTTTATTTGGCATAATAATTATCTATGTTACTCTAGCCGACGATGTAGCCTTTTAAAGTCTTATTAACGCCGTTTGCTGAAGTAGTTTAGCCCCTGTAATCTTCATAAAATTAATGTCTTGTTGCATGTCTCAGCACCGGTCATAAAGCCAGAATACTGTTGGAAAGGACGCTAAAACATATTCCGTGAATAACAGCAAAAGTAAGTAAATAAATTGCAAATCCCTGAGTGAGGCCCCCAAATTTTGCAAAATAGAGAGATAACTTGAGTGGTACAGCACAAAATTATATTATGAAATCTAGCGATGCCCTCTGAACCAAAGATATTTTTCATTAAGTTAGCCTTTCCTTACTCTGGGTTCACATCAGCTTTTTCTTGCAATTACTTTAGTTTTAACGAGACAAGAAGCCCATTATCTCCTGACGAGACATAAACATTCGAAAGCGCTCTAGTAAACTAAGCCAAAATTTGCTTAACTATGCTCAAGAATTGACACAGGCTAAAACAAACAGGACAGAACTCATAGGTAGCACTGTACGATTTTATAAAAAACGGCCGAATATGTCTTCTTCACAGTTGTTGTTGCACTCTCGAATTTCCTCAGCCTGTCCTTCGCAAGGTTTCCCGCCAAAATTAGGCTCCGGTCGGGTGCAGTTACGAGCACGCTCTTGAATCCCTTTGCCACATTCTTCGCTGCAGGGAGTCCATTCACTCCAATCCGACCAACCATCGTCAACTGTAATAAAAGAGAAAAGGTTCTCACTTTTGACTTCGCTTTTCATGATCAAGTTAACTAGATTTCTCGTATTCAGCTTTCGATCCTTCAAGGATTTAAATAACGGCGAAGCTATCTATCGCGAAATAGACAGCGACAAGAGAAAATAATGGGGTCATTATTTTCTCTTGATAGCAAGTTACGCAGCCAATCAGATTACGGCATTTGTAATAAAACGCAAAAATTGTGCTTGTTGTGAAGTTTTGGTCTGCGGTAAACAAAAATTTTCAAAGTAAAGCCGCCAGTAACAGTGCTCTTTTTCTCGTTGTCAATTGTTATATTTATTTCATACATTAACATTATTGTGGTACTACAGGTGATTTTTCTTACTGTGGCATGGCTGCTTGTCACCGCACTTCTTTTTTTCTCTCGCTAACCCCTGACATGATTTCCCGCCGTTTTGCGGCACCGGTTCGGAGCACTTCCGCGTTCGTGATTTGATCCCAACTTCACAGGTTTTCGAACAAGCTGTCCAGTTGCTCCAATTTGACCAACCTCCATCAACTAAAGAAGAAATAAGACGGTAGAATCACTAAGTCAGTCGTTACTTGAGTCAAGCAATCAGGCAGTTAGACAGTCATCGATAAGCACAACTGTAATTACCTCCAGTGCAGCACTTTCCACTATAGCCTGGTTTACAATGGCATTTACCAAAAACTGGAGTCCCACCGTTGGGACATACATCGTTACATGACCGGATATCTGCGAGCAAGTACGAACACGACCCACCACATCGGGCTCCTTTAGTCACCCGGCGTGTGCGCCATTGTGTTCCCCCTTCACCACATGGCTGAGTACAGTTACTCCACTTGGACCAGGAACTTACAATACAGTCCCTTTTGCTGCAGCCCGAGCTGAACAGGCATCCATCTGCCTGAATTACCATCGACGCAAAGCAGAGCACAGCAAAGGATAAAAGTGACATTGGCATCATTTTCTCAAAGGCCTTCGTGAAAGTCTGTTGGCGAGAAAGAGTGCGGAAATTATCACCAACGCGATAGCATGGGTCTGAAATATACAGGTAAAAATAGTGGAAAGCTGATCTCAGTGCTAGTGAAAAACCCAAAAAGGTTTTCGAGACAGAGTTCTTAGTGACTGATAGAGAGAGAGGAAAGATGCTAGATTCCCTTCGGACAAAAGAGTCGGGAGTCTAGATCAACCAAAGATAAGCAGCCCTAGCCCTTAGCAAAAGTTGCGTTTGCATACTATCCTTTTAAGTAAAAGCCTCCTTCGATACAGTTGCGCATGTTTCGCATTGTTTTCGTCCCCATTCTCCACGCATGTTTCAGACAGATCTGAGTGAACAGTTGCATAAGAAACGGGCCTTAAAAGTACTTGAAATCAAAATAAATGAGAATAAAAACTTTGAACTTTGAGAGCTAAAAAGTTTGAAATCACCGGATAGTAAACTTCAAAGTACGTGTCACTGATTTTTCACACGTTTTCTATGTAAAAAAATCAAATTTAATGTGCATTGTCACATTATTATGCTTACCTGAACTAGATTATTCCTTATATATTTCCAGGTTGTGACTCGTTTTTAGAAAATACGGTCTTACAAAAATTTTCAGTCTTTGCAGCACTTCTTGACCAAGATAAACTGAAATATGCTTGAACTGGCTCTACTTAATATAGATCGAATCAACCACTGAGGAAGAGGAAATAACATGAGTCGGGAAAACTTCCTTCAGCATTGATTCCTTCTCGACTAGGTCATTCAATGTTTTTATTTATCTCCTTACCGTTCTGAGGCCAGAATCAATTCCGAACATTGGAAGCGTTGGAACTTCGAGAGTTTTAATGATGATGCTAAGCTTCTTACGCTTCTGGAGTTCCCACTCACCTCGGATTTGAAAAGAGTGTTCACGTTACATCCTTCAAAACTTATAAGCCCGTTAAATTATAAAATTTTGACGACCCTTGAACCCCGCAGAAGATGCAAACTTCATTAAATGAAAAAAAGTCTGCACTGAAATTATCTGATAGAGTTGGGACAGTTGAACAATCTTAAAAGACATCCAGGACGAAAAAATTCCTTTGGCAAAGTCTAAATTCCATAACTTTCTTTGGCCGCGTTGGAAGTGAAAGCTTACCGATTGCGGAGGGAAGAGTGCTTTTTTAAGGTTTTATCAAGACAACAGAAGACTAAAACACCTGGTCGTTTTCCGGTCTTAACTGAAGCGTCTGTTGTTACTAATAATTTACGTGGCGACTACAAACAAATTTATAGAGTACCTTTATTGTATCGGTTTGATAACATGCACAAGTAAACAAGAAGTAATCATTTGCTAAGCCCCGTGACTGACACGTCACCATAAATACTACCAGCCTTTTTTTTAAAATAATACGTTATAGCTTAAAGTCACGTTACAACCAGAAGGTTACAGCTCAAGTGTCATCTGTCAATATCTTAGCTTCCTCTTTTCTCGATAGTCCAACGTGATTCTCTAAATTTTCCTGTTTGACTTATTCAGTGGTTCTTACTTAACAACCAATTCTTGTATTTCTCAGGAAGCCAAAAGCATTGGAATTCTCCTGGTCCCTTTGAATTGATCAGAGTCACGGTGTGGCTGCATAACCACCCGGAGAGAAGGATAATTCAATGGTTAAAAACGTCTTAGAAAAAATTCACAGTTTGACTATTTGAAAGCAATAATAAAACCGACCAAAACAAAACAAAAAAAGACGATGGAAAAAAAAATACGAGGCGGCTGAAGAGATGTGTGTAGCTATCTTCATGTGTGATGCTGAAATTTCCTTTTTAGGCACGCGTCATGACTTGACGCTGAATCTTTTAAATTATAGTTTCGATCGAAGGGATCGTTTCCCCCTCCCCCCAAAAAAATCGTAATTCGTACGAAAAACACTGATCTGTGATTTCGAAGATATCACCACTTTTTACAAGCCTGTGATTACCTACATCACCGATCTTTCAAGTGAGTGAACCGCCCAAGGGATCGCGCGCAAACAAGCTGACACGTTCTACAAATGTCGCTGATGAAAAGGAAGCAGAAATCAGAGAACCTTTTTTTAGCGATTACAGCGAGCCACCTTCTAAAGCCGCGTTCGTCTGCAATCGCTGATAGACCCTGATAAGTGACCAATCCAAGCGATCGCAGTTTGTCAGCTGATATCGTTCTAAGGTTCACAAAGAGACTTCATAGACATAGTAATATCCCTTCAAACCGACGCCATAATTACACCCAGATGCCTTGGATCGACTAACGAAGACATGCCTTCCTTGACAGTTTCCAAAGTCCTCAACTGCGAAGAACCTGTATTTCTTCTCCACTGCTAAATTAGCGCATTTTGCTACAATCTTTCGCAATTGTGAAGAGATGTGAGAGGACCAGTCAATCTCATCATTAAAGCTTGCTAGTTTGTCCGAAGAAAAGCTCTCATGACAGCCGACCTCGACTGAAAAACAAAACGGAAATTAAAAAAAAGAGTTAAAGTCAAAGGAATTTTCGGATATTTCGTCAACCATCACACAAAACATACAGTAAAAGAATAGTTTCCATAAATTTAAACCAGTGCTTCGTGCGGAAAACTTAGAAACCCTCTCTCTCTAACCTGTCACTTTTCTCCTCTGCTAAGGACCCTCTTCTTATCGCGGCCGATTTCGTCTGTCAAGCAACACTCTGCCGCGAAAGCGCGTTGCATGACAAGACTGAACAACACATGCGAAGGAAACTACTCTCTTTGTTTATTGTCAGGTTTTGAGTTCCTTTCTCCCAGTAATAAGTTGATTCTTACCTATGCATTGTCCTTCAGCCCTACACGACTTGCTCTCTTTATTAGTTCCATTACAATGTTTGCCACCGGCGGCTGGTTCGGGATTGTTACAATGGCGATCGCGTGTCACCACACCAGAACCGCATGTCACACTACACTCGGTCCAGTTGCTCCACTTGGACCAACCGCCATGAACTGCAAAACGAAAAAGGAAAAAAAACTTAAATAAAAATGTAAATAGTTACAACAAAAACGAGAAAATAAAAAACAAAGGCCAAGCCCCTCATTAGAGGGTCTCAATGGGGTGATGGCTTTTAAAATTTTGGCCAATTTCCGGCTAACGGTTAACACCTTTCCATTGTTTCCACCAGACATATTTTTTACGGTTAATTTTTTTACGACTAACGGTTAAAATTTGTCAATTTTTACGTCTAACGGCTAAATATTTTGGCCGTTTTACGGCTAACGGTTAACCCCATCGAGACCCTCTCATTAAAAGAGTAGTAATAACACGAGGAAAGAATGGTGCTACAAGACTGGTCTCATTAACTTGAAAGAAAAAACCAATTAAATTGTTAACCTGCGCATTTGTTTATAGCACATTCCTTTGTTTCATAGTTCTGAGCACCACAGCCTTTCCCACCGAAATAGGGCGGTGGGTTTGTGCAAGAACGAGTGCGTTCTCTGACGCCTCCTCCACAGGTTTTGCCACAGGCTGACCAAGAACTCCAAACGCTCCAAGCACCGTGCACTGCGATGAATAACACAACAGCTAATAACAACACGCATCACACTGGAACACTAAAGCATTTTTAAAATTTTCACAATCGTTCGAGTTTCATGACGATGACATGTGAATGAACTTTGTCTTATTGATAAAAGATCAAAGTGAAAGTATGACTGTCCAATATGGAATCCTCGAACACACATACAAACGAGTAGTCATCGCAAGTCCCCCCCCCCCCCCCCAGGAATTCGTCAGGCTTCTCACACTGTGTGCAGGTACCCATATTGCGCTCCTGAGTAGAGAGATGCACTGTGAGTTTAGTGTTTTTTCCAAGAACATACGACACAGCCACGCCTCGAACCCAGACCTCTCGCACTAGTCTCTCCCGGAGACTAGTGCGTTAACCATCTGGTCACCGTTCTTGTCACGGGGATCGCAGACAATCCGCAAAATCCACTAATTCAATTGGTCGCAAAATTTTCATATAACACGTTTTCTGAGTCGAACCTAGTCTTAGATGAAGTACTCACCTGGGCAGGAATGCGTGTTACATTGATACTTTTCCTGTGCTTTTCCTTGGCATTTTTTCCCGCCATGACTTGGAACTGGCTGCGTGCAGTTTCTGGAGCGCTCCTTAACACCAGTTCCACAAGACTGGCTGCAAAATGTCCATGCACTCCAAATTGACCAACCACCGTCAACTATTAATTGAACAGATCGAAATACACCATTTTAGCTTTTAGTATTATCATCGGCTTTAAAGATAGCCCAATTTTCAAGCAGCGTACAAAAAGATCCAGTCTATAAAGCCTCTATGTGAGGTGGGTTAGTTTTGGACTAACCGTTACAAGCTTTGTTACATTGTCAAGCTTCGTCAATTACTTCATAAAAGTAGCTAGCATGATGGGGGGTAGACAGGTATGTAACAGATATAAAAGGAAAGAACAGAAAAGTATCGGCAAATAGACTGTAACAACCTTCAGAGAGACAACAAGCAAATAGAAAACTGATGGACATGACAGACAGACAGATAGACAACACATCACTCCACAAGACGTAAAAAGGGCACACGAAACCGATAAAACTTGAATGGCAGACAGAGACAAAGCAAAAGCACTGACAGAGAGCCAGACAGTCAAACAAACGGACAAACAGAAGAAAACAAATATTCGAACAAACAGAAAAAAACAAATAGCCGGACAAACATACGCACAGACAAACAGACCGCCAGATAAACTGAAATCCTGACGCACACACAAACAGACGCGCAGGCGGACAGACAGACAGACTAATAGACAGACAGACAGACTGACAAGCAGAAACAGAGTCAGAAAAACAGACCGCCAGATGAATACAAAAGACAGACAGACAATCAAAAAGACCGATAATGAACAGAAAGTCTGTCCGTCTGTCCGACAAACAGTCAGAAAGACAGATAAATGGGCAGACAGACGAACAGAAAGAAGGACGGAGATAGGGACAGGCAGACAGACGACCAAGGACTAACAGCAAATGGACGAAAAGCAAAGGCAGACAGACCCGGGCATTTATTTACAGCACATTCCTTGGACTCATAGTAGTGAGAACCACAGCCTTTTCCACCAGAGGAGGGCGGTGGGTTTGTGCAGGAACGAAGACGTTGTCTCTTGCCTCCGCCACAGACTCTGTCACACCGAGACCATAAGCTCCAGCTGCTCCAACCGCCATCCACTAACATTACAACAATCATAGGTTTGTCCAATGCTGGTAACAAAGGTGCTTACGGCGTAACGCTCATACCGTAAGGATTTGCTTTGTATCGCTTATTCTGCAGCGCTGTTATGTATTTGCGTAGCTGCTCTGAGCTTTCATCAGTATGAAGTTTACAATTTCAGACCTAAAATGATGCAGGCTTTAATTTAGCAGTTGTTAACTTTTAGAGAGTCCTGCTTCTACGAAAGGAAAAGGCAGACAAAGACAATTGGAATGGACGAGATGTCTCCAATTTACATACCAGGACACGCATGCACATTGCACGGGCGGTTTTCCCACGGTTCCCCCTCACAAGGCTTTCCGTTATGCATGGGCGCTGGCTGCGTACAGTTCCGAGACCGTTCTTGTAAACCTGTTCCGCAAGATTTACTACAGGAATTCCATTCACTCCAAACTGACCAACCACCGTCAACTGTAAAGATTAACGAATTAACGATACAGCATAGTCACAAATAGTGTTGTGTTCTAAGAAAGTTAAAACATCAAACCGCAAACCCCTAAAATGTGTTTCTCCTAAACGGTGTCCAGTTTTCTTTGTACAAGAAAGAATGTCTAGCGTGAATGGTTACCTTCGCAAAAAACACTTGAAGTGAAAGATGACATCAGATTTATCTAAACAGCGACACACCCACCTGCACAAGGATGTCTCACACATGCCTGTATCTTCTGTGTGTTTCCTGTACATGGTGTTCCACCATGTTTAGGCTCAGGATTTGTACAAGTGCGAGAAAGAATCTTTGTTCCATTGCCACAACTTACACTACATGACATTGACATAGACCAAACAGACCAACCACCGTTGACTGTGAAAAAAAATAAGACTTCCTAAAAACTAACACGATTAAGCCAAACCAGCTGATATATTCCTTCTCGTCATTTTGGCACTGGATACGTAGAATGTACGTTATCGACACAGGTCAGGCTATTCACGCTACATGAATAGTGCAGCATAGAATATAAAATAAGGATACAGTTGGGGAGCTAAATCAAATGGTTTTTGGAAACACAGAAAATTACCTGTTGCCTATGACCTATCACTTTTCTCCATAGCCTATTCTAAACCTAACTTGATAAACCTAACAGCATAACACAATCTATCAAAGAGTAATAACATTTTCCTTACCTGGACAAGAAATTCTCGAGCAAGGCTGCTTCTTGTTTGCTTCTCCAGGGCAAGGCTTTCCCCCATTTTTAGGCGTAGGATTTGTGCAAGATCGTGAAACGATTTCTACTCCATTGCCACAAGTCACACTGCATGGCATCGACATAGACCAGCTGGACCACCCTCCGTTGACTGGAAAATAAGCAACATGCACCAAGTGAAAATTTTTAATGAAGTGTGTTTAAAGGATGTTCATCTATGAGGTAAGTATGTAGTACACCTAAAGTTGTGACTTATTATTAAAAATTACTCTGAAAGAGAAGAACTATGACATCACCCTTATTTACCTGGGCATGGATGCGTGTTGCACACCCGCTGCTCATTCCCTGCTCCTGGACAGGATTTTCCTCCATATAAAGGGGACGGTGCCGTGCACGTTCGTGATCGCCTCTGTTCTCCAACATCACAGGGGTGGCTGCAGTCTGACCATACACCCCAGCCTGACCATCCTCCATCCACTACAAGGGAAAGAAAGACGTGACGAATTATAGATTAAGATTGAAAACAAACAGGTAGAATGGATTTTCTTTTAACCTTTTCTTCTCTATTAAATAATATACACTTATCACTAATATAAACTTCGTCTCAGGAAACAACAGAATTCGAGGAAAAGCAAAACTAACTGGTTTCCCGAGGGACCATACATAAAGTGCTTTGTTATATATTTAGACTCTCCCTTAAACAATCGTATGGCAAAAAAATTCTGTAGTATTCGGCGCGCGGTTAACAACTGCGGAATTGTATCCCGGTCGGGATGAATTTGAATTTGATCAGGAGCACGTGACCAAGAATCAACTAGTCACAATGCTCGTTTTGTTGAGTGAAAGTGTAGGTACATAACAATTCTTCTTGTTTATTGTTTGTTCTGTTTAAGTTTGAAGCTGTTTATTTGTAATCCCTTTGAGCTTAGAACTCCAGCACTGTTACTGGATTTTTAAACTAAGTTTTGACATTTCAAAATTGCAAAATATGGCTTCGGGCCGAAAAGTTACCGGGAATCGAGGCATTAAAATATATTCTATTGTAAAATAGAATACATACAGCAATGTTTCCTTCTTACCGGGACAGGGCTGCTGATTGCATGATCGTACCAGCTTGGCGGACCCTGAGCAAGAATTGCCACCATGTTGTGGGCGAGGATTTGTACAGCTTCTGATGCGTTCTTGAGAACCTTTGCCACATGAATTGGTGCATGAAGTCCAGCCACTCCAACTTGACCAGCCACCGTTAACTGAAATGTAACAAATGGAAATTTAGCATTTAGTGACTTTTGGATGAGACTGCAGACAGTTGCGGATCAAAAGACATTAAGGAATCCAAGGGTATAGACAAAAAAGTGTGCGACCATGCGGAAAGTTCATTTCTCTTATAATGAGTGGGCGGGGAACAGTGGAAAATATTTAAAAACTGAATTGCTTTCAAATAATATATATGCCGAGGAGGATGAAATTATTGATCAATCGAGTTTTAGTCACTTAACATGTCCAATCAACTTAAACGCCAATCAAACAACAGATAATAACAGAATAAAAACAACGCGTCCGAAGAGGTAAGCAAAAAATGAGATAAAAAACAAACAAAACAAAGAAAAGAAACACAACGAACTAAACTGAACGAAAAACAACAATAAACGATGAAACAAATTTGGGTTAACCAATCCCCGTATCCATTCATAAAATTTCCCCGGAAAAGGCCGCTTTGAAAAAAAGCCCATCTTTCCCATGAATAGGACATTGCATGAAAGAGTAACAAATTTTTTCACTTAGTGCAGTCACATCTGAATTTTACCAGGGCACTGTTTCTCGTTGCAATTCCTCTTGTCACGTGTTTGGCCTGTGCAAAGTCTACCGCCATGTTTTGGTCGAGGATTAGTGCATCCTCGAAAACGTTCTTGGGAACCAGTTCCACAGGATTTGGTGCATGAAGTCCACCCGCTCCATTTTGACCAACCACCGTGTACTAAGTTGCAACAAGAGGAAATTGAACATCACAAAATGTTCCCAAATTGATTCAATCAAAACTACAGTATTCACGATGGTGAATCAGAAAAAATGGAAAATATCTCAAGGAGCTGTATCGAACTTGTGGGTACACTCTCCTCTCAGTCGTCAAATCCTTGTTTTTATTGTTTATCGTCGACATTCACCACGTCACAAACTTAGTACACTCTTTCCTAAAAACCTATAGCTTCAATCATCACGTCCCCCATTTCATTTTTAACCTAACGCGAATACGTAAGTGTCATGTCACACAACTTTTGTTTAGAACCAACGAATCCTGAGATAGCCTCGAGGATGAGGAAACGAGGGTGACCAAGTCTAGGTTGGCTTCAGGTTTGCATTTCGTAGGTGTAAGGATAAAGGCGAGTTCCATAGGCTAATCATGGAGAGTGACATACATATCTAAGATCAGCAATCTTCGCTTCTTACCGGGGCAAGGCTGTTGGTTACACGATCGTTTCAGCTTGGCAGACCCTGAGCAGGATTTGCCACCATGTTGTGGACGAGGATTTGTGCAGCTTCTGGCGCGTTTTTGGAAACCAGTTCCACAGGGTTTGGTGCAAGAGGTCCAACCACTCCAACTTGACCAACCACCGTTAACTGAGTTGTAGCAAGTGGAAGTAGAACGTCAGCGATAGGGACATATTATTACATCGTATTATTACGTGCACGTTATTCGTTCCTATGCTTCGGATATCCACGAGTAAAAACGGCCAAAAAAAAATAAAAAACAAGCAAACAAAACAAATGAACAAACAAAAAACAAGCAGAACAAATTCACAAAGAAAAGACGCAAATCAAAGAAAGCATAAAACAAAACAAAAATGCCTTTTGAGAGTTAAAACGATCATCGTGTCTGATCATCAAAGCATTCCGGGAACAGGCCGTCTTAAAGAAATCCCATCTAAATCATGAATAAGACCTTTCATGAAAGAATAACACAGTGTTTCCAATCAGTGAAGCTACATTTATTTTTTTACCAGGGCATCTTTGCCTATTGCAAATCCTCTTATTATTCTTTAGGCCAGTGCAAAGTCTCCCGCCATATTTTGGTTCTGGATTTGTGCAGCTTCGAGAACGCTCTTGAGAACCGGTTCCACAGGTTTGAGAGCATGAGGTCCATCCACTCCATTTTGACCAACCGCCATGCACTAAATTGCAAGAGGAAGAAATGATAAATTTTTATGTTATTATATTATATGTGAGAGAAGCACAACGTAAGACACAACCTAAAAATTACAAAAGCTACGGGGAGGAAAAAAAATTGTGTGAAGGGGATTCTTTTCTCTACCTTTCTCTTTTCTCTTTTGAGAGTCAAAACGATCATCGTGTCTGATCGTCAAAGCATTCCGGGAACAGGCCGTCTTAAAGAAATCCCATCTAAATCATGAATAAGACCTTTCATGAAAGAATAACACAGTGTTTCCACTCAGTGAAGCTACATTTATTTTTACCAGGGCATGTTTGCCTTCTGCAAATCCTCTTATTACTCTTCAGGCCAGTGCAAAGTCTCCCACCATGTTTTGGTTTTGGATTCGTGCAGCTTCGAGAACGCACTTGAAAACCGGTTCCACAGGTTTGAGAGCATGAGGTCCATCCACTCCATTTTGACCAACCGCCATGCACTAAATTGCAAGAGGAAGAAATGATAAATTTGTATGTTATGTGTGAGAGAAGCACAACGTAGGACACAACCTGAAAAATGCAAAAGCTACTGGGAGGAAAAAAAATTGCGTGACGGAGCATTCTTTTCCGTACCAATTTCTAGACTGTACAAAAAGAGGTATCAGGCGTTTGTAGAAAACCAAAATATACCATATCCGATTGCCAAAATCTCTAAAAATTCAATGAAAACACTAGAGGGCCTCTACTAAAAAGATAATCAAGACATTTGAACTTCTGCTTTTCGTCTCTGAAGCTTTTAAGCTTCATGTAAAAGTGAAGTTTACTCACCTCTCCGGTGTCTGGCTTACAAGAATATTTCAACAACGAGGGGGAAAAAATCAGAACTATAAATCTATCTTTGTTTCCTCACCTGGACAGGGGCGTAGAAAACAGGGTCGCTCTTGCTGCGATGAGCCAGAGCAAGTTTTGCCGCCATTTTTTGGAGACGGATTTGTGCAGGTTCGTATGCGCAACTGTTTACCAGTTCCACAGAGAGCGGTGCATGCGCTCCATTTACTCCAAGTGGAATAACCTCCGTTAACTGAAGGGCAGAAGTTATGATTGATTAGTATAATTTATTAGTGTTTAAGGTAATTGCATTATGATAAGAAGTGCAAGTAGTGCAAAGGAGGAAAGCGGAAGATACCAAGGAACTCCTTAATCCCTGTCCTCTAGTTTCTCGAGGGAGGAAAATATTTTGGGATCGAAATCTCTTCCTTATAAGGCACGGTTAACCTCTCCATTAAATCTCTGAGTGTTTTATCGTGCAGAAGCTGAAGTAAGGCACGCACAAAGGAAAAAAACTAACCGAGCAAAAGGCGACCGAAAAGATCAAAGAAGAAATCAGTCCCTTAGATTCTTCATAAATTACTAAGTTTTTTCTACCTCTAGTACAGCATTGTCCGCCATATCCGCTCTTACAAAGACATCGGCCAGTTAGGGGTATACCTCCATTAGAACATCCTCTATTACAAGCTCGTGTTTCTCTCAACGAAGGACACGAGGACCCACCGCATGAAGGATACCTTGATACAGTGCGTGTACGAGTTTGTGTCCCTCCGTTACCACATGGCAGGCTACATGAACTCCACTGCTTGAAAGTAGTGACGGCACAGTTTATTCTTGGGCACCTCCGTCTTCGTCGTCTCCTCCACCCTTCTGTTTGGTTGGCCAGCATACTTAAAACCACCAAAATCCATAAATATTTTGACGTCATCCTGACAGGCTTTGATATAATGCAGGCTGATTATCCAGCTGTCTTGCAAATTGGCAAAGTTGGGAGATGCGAGCACTGAAAAGGTTCCTTATCTGAAATGAATATTTAGAAGACATTATGCTAAAATGCTGGGGATGAAGAAATTAATTGTGTCTACCGAGTTTCAAAAATGCTTACTCCTGCAAAATTGATTCCCATAAAGCCCAAGTAGCGGCAAGCGGAAGCATGACTGTTTACATGCTTAGAGGCTGTCAGCTGGCGTTCGACGAAAATTGTGGTGGCGGAGTTTCGAATAATGAATAAAGGGAGTAATGAGAGTCAAATCTTAGCAGAGGCAGTTAAAATAAAGAGAGCAAGTTTCTAAAGAATCTGTGATGCTGCGTCAGCGGGGGTTATTGCATGATAATTTTGTTTGGCCACAGTAAAGAGTTTCTTAGTGACGTTTGAGCGTTAGCCTTTCTTAGTCAAAGCTGTGGATTTTATTTAACGCCGAAAGACGTCTTTCTCATGCTGGTCAAGTACATCTAATCACTTCAGAAGCAGTTGAAAGTTCTCTATTGTTTAAAAGAAAATGTAGTGCGCATGAAACGCACGTGGAATCATTTCCGTCAAACACCACAGTCCAAGCCGAGCGAAGAGTAGTTAGTAGCTGTGCTGGATAAAGCTGTAACATAACATCTCAGCCTTCTTCTCAAATTTTGCTGATAGGAATCAATTTCGATTTCTAATTCAATAGAACAAGAATAAGTCCCTTCTTTTTCTAATGGGCGGATTCAGTGTTACACAGCAAGAGATTTCACTTTCCACTACTGCGCAACGTACATAGCTACGACCCATTTTAGTGAGGTCAACACAACTTTGGACTTGCTCAACATGTTCGCCTGCGTCTGGCTTCTTTCACAAACAGAAGTTAATAATAACATATGAAATCGTCTGAAAATAAAAAGCCGGTTTAAATGTATTCTTAAAAGCACATAGTATGCTCCAGCTTTCCAAGCGATGAAAGCGAAACTCGATGGGTCTAGGCTGTCTTAGGCGCGCGTCCTAATAGTTCAGATTGTTTCGGTATAAAGCTTTAAGCGGCGTCTTCAGTTCTTCTTCATATTGCAATGCGGCCTTATTTTACACTCTGATATCCATTAGAAACCTCTTCTATCGCAAAAACTGCTTCATCAGCTGTACATGTATATATGTATATATAGTATACTGACTACAACGCAGCTTTCGGAAACTTCACATATAGATCAAATCATGTCAAGCGAAACGTTGTATCGTTTATAATTGTGCTTTTAACGATGACAATCATTCTTTGAATTGATATGGTGATTGTAACACTTACCTCAACTGTAAAAAAGTATTCCTTCTCCTCGACTAATGAAACTGATCACGCACGCTGACTGAGATTCTCTACGCCAATTAATTAGCCCAGACCTTGTTATGATGTGACAAGCAGGGAATTTTGAATATTTATCAATAACACTTCCTTTTAGCGCGATTCAGCGATTCAATCCTTTCAGATTCCAAAATTTCCTTTCAGGCACAGAAATGCAATAATTAATTTTACATTTCTCGAGAAAATTGACGTATTCGCAGAATGGGAATGTCAGTAAAGAAGCACTTGGGCATACGTTTGTTGGCTTGGCTCGTGGTATCTGATCGTGACAGGAACACAAATGTAGCATCTCCATTACGTCATGTCACGCAGATTACGCAAACCGGAAAGGCGTAACCCATGTTCCTTCAACGTTTCCTTCAACTCCAATTAATTCAATGTGGAATGTGGCGGAAACAATCGCTTTGGGAGACATATTTTAATTCAAGTCTTGAGACTGTTTGGTCTTGAGAGAGAAACACAAATAGGGTTTTAAATGCTCGTCATTTCCGTGCAGGTCGACACAAAGCGAGTATTTCGTCACGCAATCTTCGTTTCAACTTCAGCGGAGGGCTGATCAAAAGTCCAAAAATATACCAAAACCCACCAATAATAAGAGATTCAAAGAAAAAAGATCAGCATTTAACAGTTCAGCGACTGAACTGGTGTAGACACGTAAGGTCTTTTGAGAACCATTTGAAGAGTGCCTAAGAAGGCTTTGAGATCTGGGCCGGGGTGGTTTTGAGGTGCTAAAACCCCCACTGGCGTGGGAAGAGAGGGAATCGGATCGGATGCCCCCTGATCTGATTATTTCACAGCTAATGATGGTCTTAATTTTCATATTTCATTCGATCAAAGAGAGACACTTCCTTTAGTCAAATTGCAAATGAAGAACGAGATCACAACATTTTATAAAATTTTATAAAGAGGGATTGGACTCGGTCGGATCATCTGAAATTAAATGCAACCCGTGTCGCCTAGAAATTTTTTTAAAAATTTTTTAAATAGGTACTATATTTATCTGTCGAATATAAAAGTAGTAGTGGTAATAATGATGATAATAATAATAATAATGATAATGATGATGTTTATAATAATAATAAAAAACTAAATTCACATTTTCAAGAGATTATGGACTGTTTATAATCTTTTGCATATTTCACATCCATCCACAAATAACTCAATACGCAATAAAATGATATTTCCTACTGGATCATCATTCAGACTCTACGAGGGTAAGATGCGATCGTAGTTTTTTCCTAAAATTACTAATTTGGAAGTGAGTTTTATATTAAAATCTAACCGTTAAAATTGAAGGTATTCAAAGATTCAAATTCAATTATTAAATTACTCATAAGAACTGTGATCGTGAGTAGGCTATCCAGCTAAAAATTATTTTCAAAAAAGCGCAAGTTAGCCTTACAATTTTCCTGAGCAAGGCGCTTGAGGAAAAATGTGCGTATTTTGCCCACCCCACCACCGCAAGAACAGCCACCTGTTCGAAATCGGAAAGCTTTGTAGCCTCGCCCGGAATATTTCAGCCGGCCCGCCAGTTTTGTTTTGTTTAAGTCGCAAGGAAACAACGCACATGGTTAGGGCAAAATTTTTCTACGAAATTCATAGACAGCAAATCCGGCATTCTATTACAAAGCAAGATGTTGGCGCATTTCGCACGAGGTAGTTCGGATGTGGATTGGTGTGAATCAAATTATGCCCATGTTACCTTCATCGCTGAATTTTATAACACGGTAAGGCAAATAAGCGATTTTGAGTTTACAATTGAAAGAGATGTCAGTTCTTAATTGTTTGAAAGCGATCCTAACGTCGCTTCTCTGAATACCATACCAAGCAAATGCGATGTTAACTGAGATATATTTTCAATTCAGGTCAGCAACGCTGTATTCCTAATTCTTCCGCCATTTTTTATGTGAGTACTATTTTTTTTTTATAATCCCTCGTTTGCCGTCCTTCAATCATCTTTGTTTACTTTTATCTCTTAAAATACGTCTTTTCTTCTCGTACCTTTTTTAAGATCACCTGTCGATGTTATAATGTTTATTGCTAGGAAATCGTGTGAAATATTTAAGACCGCAAATATTCGACCTTAACTGAAACTAGAATTAGAAAGATCTACTAAATTTGCTGAAGGTTGCTTGCAGAAAAACGATTTCGCTCTCCTTGCGCTGAGAAAAAATTTCCATATTGACTTAACGTTACTCTCTTGAGAATGTCCACAATGAAACAAGATTAATTGTTTTGACTAAATCCAAAGTAAACATTGCTGAAAGATGTAATTTATTCGCAACTGACATGTTGAAGTTTCAGATCGAACGCCCAAACGATAAACTCTGTGAAAAATGACAAGACCCTAATCTTTTATTTCTTCTTATTTCTAGAACGATTTAAAATTGCCAGTGGACTTAATGAAAAAAAAAACAAAACAAAATAAAAAGCAAAATAATTTAAAACGAAGGAATAAATACAGATCGTCAGTTTTAAAAGATATTCAGATTACTCGTGAGTAAAACTTATCAAAACGTAACAGGTAATCGAAAAGTACCTGGCAACCATGATTAGGAATTTGCATAACATAAAATCTACATGTCTAAGAGTAAGCGTTCAATAATAAAAGAAAAAATTTATAATATGGTGTCCGTTTCGTGAAACTTAAGTCAGGGAACGAGTAGAAACAATTTCGAAATTTTAATTCCGCTGATTTTTCCTACGAGGGAACAACCCATTACGTAAGTGTGGGAAATTTTTTTTTCCATGTTGCACGAATTCAGAATAATACCACCTGAAAGTTTCTCAGCGGTAAACAGCTGGGGTTAAAAGCATGTACTGCACACGGACTATTTTCATAGTAAGTTACTCAGCGTCTGAAATTTCTGCGTACCGCCAACGGCACTTTAAAAAGCCGCCAGTTGAATGATAAGCGCATCGAGATCGCTTCAAAATTGAAAATTGCCGCCCACAAAACGTAGGCGAGAGTTATTAACCGCATTTGAAAATTCGCCGACACAACTTATTTTTTTTGTCTTTGTGCGATTCGTTTATTCGCTGGCGTTCATTATGTGAATAGAATTAATTAGTAAACCGCTTCGTGGTCTCTGCCGTATCGGTGTTAAAATTGACATGTTCAGTCAGGCGGTAAACAACAAAAACAATATAACAGCATCGTGTTTGAGTGTTGAGGTTGCGGTTGAAGTAGCAGGCATGATGCTTTTCTTCTTCGAGATGAAATGGTTATAGAATAAGAGTGACGTCGAAATGTCCACATATCGACCAGGGAAGGGAGGCGAAACATTAAAAAATTTGCAAAATTGCAATACCATACTGGGCTAAGGTCGGCGGGAAAAAAAATTGGCAAAAGGAATAATCTTCTTCCAAAGCGTCAGCCACCACTGTTAGGCTGTTGTGGCAATAAATATTTCATTTTCAATTTAAATTTGTTGTAAACTTTACTGTGTTTGTAATAAATTATGTATGTTGAAGTCAGGTACGACAAATCCCAACGTATAGTGCAAACATGGAAACGTTTTACAAGGAGTGCGTTAAATCCGCGGAGAAAATAAAAAGCAGATTTATTTGGAAAAACATATGAACGCCTTTAGGCTTTATGTTGCACAACAGTGAGCGTGGGGAGCAGAAAAGCGCTTGCTTTGCTGAATATTCCCAGTGGGGGATAATTAAAACTTCGCGTCGATCCTTTATTTTCACTGTGTATGAGTGTCTGAAGACTGTTTCATTTTTTTTTCGTAATGAAAACAAAATTGGAATATAGTTTGACCCCAGACTACGTGTATCTAAAGAAATTCTGTCGGACCTACTTATCTCGCTAAAACGAAAAACTAACACAAAAATCAAATTCTCAGCACTCTTCGATTGAAAATTGTCAAACTAAATCCAAAACAAACGATGCAACCAGGAGCCAATCGGAGCAAAGTTCAACATCACGAAGAGCCAATGGGAACAAATGGAAAACGCACGTGAACACCATCAAGCGCGGGAATATGCCTGATTAGTCACATCACGATTGGTTTCAAAGCGCGTTTGGATCGAGTGTTGTAAACTAAGAGCCAGAGAAACCACAACTGGAATGCGCGAAATAGTTACATCTCGACTGGTTTTTAAATTAGAGAACATTTCACCACTGGACCGAGTGTCGTTAAATCAAATCCAAAGTAATCACAACAGCTAATCTGACCTGAAAAAAAAACTCAAGTACCAATAAGGGCTCAAAATGAAAATAACTAAACTACTTGAGCCGCGGGAAAAGTACGGGTGACCAAGTTGCCCTTTGTTTTAGTTTTGAAACTGATTGGTTGAGTACGTCGCGTGTTTTCTGGACCAATCACACGACGATGTAGGGCAGAGCTAATACAATTCCCAATTACTTTGGAGAGTGAATCGAAAATTGCTCTAATCCTGTTTTTGATTGGTTGCAAAATTGGTGCACAATTATTTGACAATGTCCCCTCAAAATTAAAACAACAATTTTGGTATTTTTTAGATACCTGTTTCGTCCGTACTCAAAGCATGTCTGCTCTGGGATCAATATCGTTTGGGTTTTGTTCGTCGTCATTGGATTGAGTTCAGCCTATTTTCACGCAACACTTAGTCTCGTGGGTCAACTTTTGGATGAACTTGCCATCCTGTGGGTTTTGATGGTAGCACTAGCCTTATGGACACCAAAATGGATGTTAGCTCTCAGTCCGTTTGGAGGAGACAGGTATTTGAACTCTACAAGAGGCTAGGGCTGTGAGAAAAAGATATTTTGACACAAATAGCAGTTTTTCTTCTCCATTCCATTTCTTTCTTCTTTCTTTCTATTTTTTTTCTAATTTTCTTTTGCTTATTTTAGCTCCTACATCAGTACCACCAGAAAACTATTTTTCGTTTTCTGCCCATAACGTTTGGGCCATTTCAAACGTGTTAGTTTTGAATAAACTCTTCCAGCTTGAATGGCCTTGAAGATCTTTCTCTCAAACGCACTCCAGAGAAGTGTTTTTCGCTTTAACCAAAAGTTGTCATCCTGTATATACCTTGAAGTGATCAAATACAGCACAGTGCATTCAGTGAGGAAGTGTGGCATTGTGGCAAAATATGGCTCATTTGAAGTTAAAGTCGCGTAGTTCATAATGGTTACGCGATATGTCAACTAATTTCGACGTTGATTGCAGTTGTTTCGGCCTCCCACTACACATTTTATTGCTCCTTCTTTATCTCTCGTTTGCATTTTTTTTGTGCCGCATCTTCCGGGAAAGTACTGATATATATCATTATGCCGGTTTTGTTTATGCTTAGAGAAACATTCCAGTACGCTGTCCTTGGCTTGTCTTTCGTTTGTACGTGGTTAGGATTTATCTATCCTGTGGCAAATGCATTCGTTTTGATGGCGTTTGGAGCTCCATTTCTCTTCATGCTGTTTGCTGAACTTAAAAGGTGACTCATTTGCACAACTGACCGTAATTAACTGATTCAATTTAGCACCATCGTTACAGTAAGTGCCCCTCTGCCCTCTTAAATGAACGTCGAAGCTTAGTTTAGCACATTCTGCTGTTTCTCAAAAAAGAAATAAGCACCCTGTCCCTAAGAAGTGCCCTGTTTCGAATAAACGCCCTTCTTAGAGGTACCATAAGTAATTAAGCACCCGGGCGCTAAATTGAATCATTACGGTACATGTGGGATGCTTGACTCTAACAACTAAGAGTAACACCATAAAATTGACCGACAGGTTTCCTCGAGGCAGATTTAAATGAACACTCGAAAGATTCACTGTCTTTTTTGCTTCTGATTATAACTTTCATTGAGGTTGTTGAAGTGTCTTGCACGGTCACCGAAAACCGTCTTTAACCCTTTAACCACTAAGAGTGACTGGAATCTAGTTTCTCCTCATTGTATCACAACTGAATCAAACACTAAGAGCGTGAGAATAAAGGAAATGATCAGCGACTAAGGAGGGCTCTTGTTCATGTTAAACAACTTCTCCCTGTCAGCACCTTTTGAAATATGTAGAGAACGGTATGGAGAATATGCAAACTGATATTGGGGTATAAAGAATTAAGGACGCTTACTACTAGACGACCATTACGTGCAAAAAAGGTAAAGGGTGGCATATAGCATGAGGCGACTAGGAGTATCTCAACTTCCCCCTGTATGGGTTACCCCCCTGTATTTTAGCAGGCTTCCCTGATAATTGTGGTGCACATATTTATACTCCTGGGTGGAGAGAGAGAGAGAGAGACACGGTGCGAGTAAAATGCATTACCCAGGATCACAGCATATTGACCCAGCTCGGTCTCGAACCCAGACCTCTTGACCAGTGAACACTGCGTCTCCCCTATGTAAACCTCACAATAGATTTACCAATTTTCTAAGCATTGATCCTCCATTGATAACATTGATATTCCATTGATCCTCCATCGATAACATTGCTCCTACATTGCTCCTTCATTGATAACAACCTACTTTTCTTTTAACCTCGCATGCTTGTTTCCTTTCTTTTTTTATTTTAATTTTTTTATTATTTTTTTTTTCAATTCTACCATTTTTCTCCCTCTGTATTGCAGATGTAAGGACTTGAAAGTTAAAAGATTAGGATTCGCATGTGTTGGATGGTGGTTTGTCGCTGTAGTTTTCTGGATAAATGATCGTGCATTCTGTGACGTATGGCGGTCTGTCTCTTTCCCATACCTTCACTGCGCATGGCATATTCTAATTTTTATTGCATGCTACACTGGTTGCGTTTTGGGTTCATACTTCTACGCTGCAACAGAGTTTCCTCAATTGCGCCCGGCTTTATCCTTCTGGCCTCGTTGGTCGTGCGAGTGGGGAGTTCCATATGTGATGTTAAAGGGAGTGCCAATGGAAGAAAATCCTTGACAAAATTCTATTATAGCGAGAACGAACTGGGCTCCAACTTGAAAGCTGCGGGTGAGAAAGACTGTTTGCTGCAAAATACTTTCCGCATTCGTTTCCCGCTCTGGTCTTGTATGTCTAGGAAATGAGAGTCCTATACATGTGCGTTGAGTACAAGGTGGTAACACATGTAGAAGAAAACTTTTGAGAAAATTCTACTTGGCAGAAGACATTATCTTGGGCTCTTATATCTAATCTGCAACTGAGACTCCAAAGCTGCCTCCCGCCCTGTTCTTGCTGGTATAATGAACAAGGAGTTGCATACATGCACATCGTGTTAAATGCGGTACCATAGAGAAGGAAACTTCTGAACAAAATTCTTCATCACAGAAGAAACTGTCCTATGTTCTTGCATCTGAGCTACAACCGAGTATCCATAGGTAAGCCTCGCTCTGTTCCCGCTGGTCTTGCGAATTAGTAGTCCTGTACATGATACCCTGGGAAGTAAACTTTTGAGAGAAAGCTGTTATTTAGCTGCGGCGAATTTTTCATAGTTAAACCTCGCTCCGTTGCTGCTGGTCGAGCGAATGACGAGTCCTATACATGTATATCACGCTGGGGTTGGTACCACAAAAAAGAAACCTCTGAACAAACTCTAAATGGCAGAAGACACGTTATCCTGAGGACCGTCTCTCGAACGTCCCAATAGTTCCCGAAAAAGCTTCTTTTTGCTCGCCGTCCCAGCGTTCAAGATCGAGATACAAATTACATTGAAATTCAAGCAATTAAAAATACCCAGGAACGATTCAAATTGGGCTGTTATTTGAGCTAAAGCAGCACTTCTGTTCCCAAGATACAGGTTTTACAAAATTGGTTTTAAGCCCTTTAAAGAGTGAAGGGTTTCGAGAAACGAGCCCTCCAAACTCTTATGTTTAAGCTGCCACAGAGTTGCCTCAGTTACGTCCAGCTAAAGTATTACAAACCAGCAAGAGAACACAAACCGATGTTGGCGCTTACAAATTGTCGAGCGACACAAACGCTTTTCATGGGCAAGGCAACTTTGTGCGCAGACGAGGTGGATGGATAATATTTCTGCAAACTACATGCGTATACATCTACAGGGTGTAGGCTACTACATTAAAAGAAAAAAGACAAACAAACAAACAAAAAGAAACATTGAAGACAATGGTGGCTACATCCAGGTTTGAACTATCAAGAGCGCCCATCAAAGGTACCACCATCACGTTGTGGGTGCTGCTCAAAGGAAAAAAAATATTCAAATGTGCGGAGACTGTGGGTAGATTGACTAACACATTTTAATTCCACGATATCATTAAATATCATATACACTTCATTAACTAAATTATAATATGTAATTTATATATAAAAAACTCTGTGTCGTACTCTTAGATAAATAGGAGGGGTCTTAAAATTCATATCATGTATCGTTTCTCTAAACTCTGAGGCTTTAGTCACGACTCAAACGCTATAATGCTCGTCACGATTCAAAGAAATGTGGAAAACATTTTAAGAATGTGAATAAAATTTGGAGATGGTGAGGAAGTGTCATTTTCAGACCCATAAACGCAGTTCAACATGGCACAGTAGCTTCGGTCGCCATTAAAATTTAACTACGATATACATATATATCAAGCTTAGTGGTGATCGTTTATCATTAAATGCAATGATAGGAAAGTTTTACAAATCTGCACTTGTTAATCAAACGCAATGGTAACCGAACGTTATCAAAAACGTTCCACGTTTCATAAAAAAAACCCTTCTTGAATTTGTTTTTGCTCATACGCGTGTGTACTGGAAATCTTAGGTACAACAAAAAGAGCAGCGAGACGAATTCCTCTCCAAATTCTAACGAGTAAGCTGTATATACAAGATTGAAACTAGAACCACGTACGGTGCTCCCGTTGAAGAATGTTGAACGTCGAAGGCAGTTGGAGATGTGTATTTCCTTATCCATAGCGCACCTTCTACTCTAACAAGACATATGAGAGTTGGTGTAGGGTCTTGCCATGATAAGCCAGGTTTGCCGAGGTCGAGGTTGTCCAAGCCGGCAATCGCGCCGTCTTATCTTATACTCGTGTTCAATTTTGCATTGCATGACAAAAATGGCCATTCGCGTGGTTTTACATTCAATGTTTTAGTCAGGTAACCTTGATACTCTCCAGACTTGGTGATATATTGAGTGTATGCCACGCCTGCAATAAAACCAGTGAGCACGAATTATTAGCTCGTTACAAAACCGCGCGAACACCCCTATTAAGCTACTGTGCACTGTAAATTCGAGATCATCTATGAATTTATGTGCAATAACGACTGAACGGTTTCAGACAAAAAACGGTGATGCGTGAAATTTAGTAATCAACATCCATTTCCTCTTTTTTTGTTTCTTCACGTCATCTATAGCGTGCACAACTGACAGTTTTGCGTACACTTAAACGCTATGTGTAAACTTCGTGATGAGCAAGAAGGCCGCAAGGGGCTTTAAAACTAGCCTTCGACCCCAGCCTCTTGCAGCTTTGCCGTTTATCGCTTTAGCGCATAATAAACCGCCAGCGACGCAGAATGCGACATTTAGATTATGGACACGTTTTGAAACGTCAGATGATCGAAACTATAAATTACGAGCAGTGTACTCATTTTCCAAATTGCACTTACCAGCCTGAATTTCATTTTGATGTTTTCGAATTTTTCAACACTGCAGACAGCTTTGGCGACATTATTTCCATCAAATGGTTCTGTAATAAATCAAGAAAAAGGTATTACTTATTAAAGCTAATTGGGGAAAGACATACAAAGCTAACTGTTTCCCTCGCAATGAGACATTAAATGCGTATTGTGTAGGGGAAAAAAACTCACCTTCTACACAAACCAACTTCCTTTTACGTTGCGAGTCTCGTGGATAAGCAGCACCAAGTGCAATGGAAATATAATCAGTACTCCAGCTAAGAAGGAAATAAAAGTGAATGTAAGACCTCCACCACCCTTTCACTCCAAAGGTTGCAATACTAAGTCTCCTTACTGTCTGTCGTACGATTCTAACGATGTTATTTCAGAGAATTTGGTATTGGATCAACTAACAATCCCTTGATTGATATTTTTCTATATTCTCATCACCTGTCAGCTTGATATTGAAATGATATTGAAAATTTCGTATTGGTCACCTATGGGGTTTAAGGATTAAGACGAGTTTAAAAGATGTCACTGTCTAAAGGAAGTAAGATTCTAAAAAAAACTGTGGTGCTGCGTCAGTGGAGAGTATAGCAAGGCCATCTGGGTATTATCAACTAGGTTTATTAAACGTAAATTGGCCACCGTTAAGAGTTTCAAAGCTAAAACTCTAAAGGGTAAAAACTCTTACGTTATCAACTGAGTTGATAATACCAAATTTCAGATGTCACTGTATGTTTTGTTTCTGATCAGCACGAACAGAGCATTAAAATCATACCTAAAATCCGCAGCATAGTATTTGAAGAATCCAATAAATAACTCTCCTATAGATTGTCTGTTCTCTGATCTGTGAATTATCAGGCACAATTAGTATTAGGAGCAAAAAATATTGCTATGTTACTGTGGACACAATTGGATCGCCAGAATAAAGCAGAAGGAAACGTGATGTTAACTTACTGGTTGCAGACCATACTTTTACACGGATTCAGGGCTAAAAGGCTTGAGAAATCACTTGTGTATCTGAACAATGCCTGTTAAACAAAACGAAAAAAGAAAACCCACCAAAATATTACATTTTCATTTTATCAAAAAATACAACATACATTCATATCAAAATATTTCTCATGTCTCTCTTGTTATCATGCATCTTACTTTCTCATGCATATGCTACTCATTTCTTAGCCAAGATCTGGTTGTTAATTTAATAACTTGATATGATGACAACCAATTTAAGTTATTCTGCAATTTATATAAAAAAGGTGTGCATGAGCACATGCCGTACTTACTGGATATTGCCTTTGTAAGACAGGAACTACAGCAGGTTTACAAACACCTTACGAACAAACAAAAAAATGCATTGCATACAAAAATTATTCTTGAATAAATACACCAACTACATTTCACTGCCCCCCTTCCCAAATCATTAACTCCTGGATATGCTCATGTACATGTACTATGTACACATGTGCATGTCAGGGGAGCCTGCTTTTACTCATAATCCCTCACTAAGAAGTAAAAAAAAGCAAAACTTACAATAACTAAACTTCAGGTTGGTAACATTGTCAAACATACCTTGTAGATAGTGAATGACCATCAGAGCAAGAGCATAGCTAGAGAGTGTACCCAAGCTAGCATCATTGATGTTGTGTGTTTTGGCCCACCTCTTCACCAACATCACCAGTGGCTGGACACGATAATCCACTGATGTAAAAAGAAATAAAGAAATAAATAACTACCTAGTATATAATAATACTTTAATAAGTATAAATGTATACATCAAAACCCTTTGGTCCCTCTGAGTGACCAACATATTATTTCTCCTTACAGTATCACCCCTGAATCAACCATTGAGGTCATGAGAAAGAAGGAAATGATCACAGATTGAGAAAGCTCGTAGGTATTCAACAAATTCTCCTTATCAGTACTAGAGAAAATTTACAGAGAACAGTTTGGAAAATATGACCACTGATATTAGGACTAAAGGCACTAGGTAAAAAGACAAATTAATGTGGCAAAGTGCACATGTTTTTCATTTACATGTTTCATTACAAGATGTGCTACATGTGAGGGTCACCATGCACATGATGACATAATAACTGTTGAAACAACCTCCAATGATCTTTGATTCAGTCCATATTAGACAAACAAAAAAATAGGAAATGTGTTAGAGAGCCTGATCTTACAGAATTTATTTTAACACAAAAGTTTAAACCATGCGAGAAAATCATTGAAAATTCCCATTTGAGACAACCATTGAGAAAGTAAAGACTTGCCTCCACAGTAAGCTCTGAGCAAGTGGGTGTTCCTCAAACCCTGGAAATAGAATAAACTGTATGTCATAATAAGAAGACTCAAGAAACAGGTCTAAAAGTTTGTCTTGAGTATACAGTCTAAAGAGAATGCTGAAATACCAAACAAAAATGAAACCTAGATTTCATTTCAGCTAGCATTTATATTACGCAAGCCAATCTTAATGACAATACTGCAACATGATTCCATTTCCTCTGGTCATTATCACAAAAAAATTAATTACTTAAAGACTAAAAAAGAAAACAAACAAATAACTTACTACAATATTATTAATGTTGATGTCACACTCACAGCCACTATGGAAGGATAAGAAATAGAAGAAAAATTTGTTGTTTGTCTATAATGATATCAGCAGCTATTGATTGAAAGCTAAATCTTCTCTGGATGAGGGTTAGCTTGTAAAACAGAAGTGTATAATATGTACACTGTATTTTGGACCCTCAGTATAAACATGTACTAACTTGAAGATTTAGATATATGAAAATTCACATATTTGCACTGCGGTGGAAAGATGAAATTAGAAGATCCTCGCAGCTAAGAACACTACTGAAACTAGTAGTTGTAAGTAGGACCTGAAAAAAATTTCAGGCCCGTACGGGATTTGAACCCATGACCTCTGCGATACCGGTGCAGCGCTCTACCAATTGAGCTAACAAGCCAACTGGGAGCTGGTCAATGAATTGGGTACAAATAAACATCCGAGTGAATGAAGATTTAGATATATGAAAATTCACATATTTGCACTGCGGTGGAAAGATGAAATTAGAAGATCCTCGCAGCTTACCAGCTTACCAGCTCCCAGTTGGCTTGTTAGCTCAATTGGTAGAGCGCTGCACCGGTATCGCAGAGGTCATGGGTTCAAATCCCGTACGGGCCTGAAATTTTTTTCAGGTCCTACTTACAACTACTAGTTTCAGTAGTGTTCTTAGCTGCGAGGATCTTCTAATTTCATCTTTCCACCGCAGTGCAAATATGTGAATTTTCATATATCTAAATCTTCATTCACTCGGATGTTTATTTGTACCCAATTCATTGACCAGCTCCCAGTTGGCTTGTTAGCTCAATTGGTAGAGCGCTGCACCGGTATCGCAGAGGTCATGGGTTCAAATCCCGTACGGGCCTGAAATTTTTTTCAGGTCCTACTTACAACTACTAGTTTCAGTAGTGTTCTTAGCTGCGAGGATCTTCTAATTTCATGTACTAACTTGTTATAAGCATACAGAGCTCTTACCTGATCATATCCTTGAATTTCAAAATTGGTACACTTGCAGGAATAACTGCACATCTACTAAGGAAAGCTGTTGAACAATTCCGATATGTGAACTGTCAAGAACTATTTGCATACAAGAGATACAGGTACAGTATGATCCCATTTTACAAAGTAACGAGGCAGTTTCATGATGGTTTTGTTGACAATGACACATACAAGTAGGAAAGCTGCAAGAATGGTGACATATCATACAAAAAATGTTTTTAACTCCTATAGGAGACTGTGTATTTGATTACTCACTGTTTTTAGGGTCATTGTCCAATACTCTCTGAATTTTCCTCAAAATTGGCAGAGCTTCTTTCCGGTTATTTGACTACAATCAAATTGGATTCACAACAATTTATTAGAAAGGAACTTAAGAGAAGAATATCATAAGAGAAACTTAAAACCACACATTCATTTACATGATCTCACCTGCTGTAGATGTTTTAAAATCAAACAGAAATCAGCATCACTAGTATTACCACCAAAGCCATTGCTTGACGAGCCACAAAGATGTAAAGAACAACCTGGAAAAAAGAACAGGCTCAAAATTGATCTTAACTTAACTCTCTCTTACCCAAGATCTACATAACAATTCACCCTATTATTTATCATAAATTTGTTTAATTGCAGCTCTGACAATTTGTTTTCTAATCAAATAGTATCCTCATCACCTTACTACTAAAGGTGTGTTGATCAGGTGAGGAATCTTCTGGCTTATTACCAAGATTAATAAATTCCCTGTTTTGTGAGATGTCTTGATCAAAAAACCTACAACATGAAAAGCTAAAAGTAGAACAGGCTTTCAAATAAGTGTACACCACCCAGTACCAAGAAAAAGTGCAAACAAAGACTACTACTCAAAAACCTCAATTTCATAGGGAGGCTTGTTAGAAACTTCATTCCCTAAAGAGGGGGAGAATCCATTACATATGAAATTTACAGCACATACAGTGGAAAGTGCAGTAATGTACATGTACCTGGAAAAAATGGTGACAAAGTTCTTTCTAGAAAAGATTTCAACTTTAATTTCTTTTGTAGTGTCTCAACAGTTTGCACACATTTCAAGGTTTCCTCTTGTATCTCTTGGGTAAGCTGAAACAAGAAAAATTATTACTGCCAACCACTAAAGGGTTTTTTTTGTTAACATTGTGGTGTATGACCCATAATGTGTGTCATAGGGGATCGTTTCACTATTCAGTATATAAATCTCTGTTGAGTTTTCACATCTTACTCATATTTTGGGTACAGAACAACCCCGTATGCTACAAACATGAAAGTGTTGGGCTGTTGGGATATCTATTAAACTGCATGTATTTTCTACCTTGTTTACAGAGCAACAGCATCAAAAAACTTTTTTTCTTTCAATTATTATACATGTAAGTTAGAGTTTAAGATGCTGTACAGGTGTAGCTTCAATAATTAGGTTTTAAATTTAATTCAGATCGCTTAAACTTCACGAGGTTCAACACAATTGAATTGTGAAAAATTTGTCTCTCACCACAAAATTTCTGCTTAGCCAGTGAGTTGTGAATTGTTACGGCACTACATACCTGCCTGTATACATGTACACTGTAACTTCACAAATGCATAAATCCCAATTAAATAACCCTAATTTAGTGAACAATAATTAGGTTGTCACTCACACTCCAAGCAAAATACTTACTGTTTCCAGGGTAAACACAGGGGGTTCTACTTCAAACTGCTGAAATCTTAATGACCTAGCAGTATTATTACATGTTGCTTGGGAGGTACTGTAATATCTTTTCACTCGTTTGGTTATGACTTCATCTTGAAAGTCTGGAGTTACAGTGGAGTGATGACGACGTTTAGGTGGTCTTCTCCCAATACTTTCTCTACTCAAGCTGTTCAGTGTCTTCCCATGACTTAAGCTTATTGTTCTTTGCTCATTAGTGACATTCACACTGATTGCTGCGTGATCTGAAGAAGTTGCTGTGTTTGTACATTTAGAGGTTGAAGAATTAGAGTTCGTGCTGCTTCTGTCATTATACAGAGCATAATTGTTTGACTTATATTCTGTTGGTCTAATAACTGTAGATTGCTTTGGGGTTTTCCGGGTGAATGCAGGTAGATCACTATCCTTAGGCTTCGGAAGGTATTTCTCAAGATCCACGAATGATGGAGTGTATACTGACTGTCTCTGCCAGTACTGCCCATTTCTTTTGCCTTTACCAAAGTTTGCCATTGTCTTGATTACATTCTAACAAAAAGCAGAACTAATTATCAGTTATTTACATTTAAGTGATATGTTTTTGCATGCAGAACAGTGCTTGCATGCATGCCCCACATATTTAACAAAATGCTTAAATTTCCCTTGCTCTAAATACATGTATCATTGCAGTTAGTTAATTATTGATCACATGGCCTTGAACAAATTTTGTTTCCTCTCGAGTTTTGATGTGTCAAAGTTTTTCTCAGGAACCCCTGACACGACAACCAAAAACAAAAAAAACAAAAAAACTTACTGTTTCCCTTACATGGCATGCTTAAAAGTTACTTACCGTCCTCATAAAGAAATTAATACAATTAACCAAATGTTCTTGCTCTACTGATCACCTTTGAAATCATATTTCAACAATAACTTGCCTCAGCCTCTTTGACAAGTAATATTAATTAAACGACGAACTGGTCTCTATCTCTAGGATGTAAACATTTCTTGTAATTTCACCAAGTTTTTTACCTTAAATGTATCAATATAGCATGTTAGTACATGAGTCATATTCAAGTTTTCAAGGGTATGTGGAAATATAAAAATTTCAGTTTCTTAACCCTTTCACTCCCACAAGTGACCAGGACAGAATTTCTCCTTACAATATCAATACAATATCAAGCAGGCAGGTGATGAGAATAGAGAAGAATATTAATTATGGGATTATTAGTTGATCCAATACCAAATTCTCTGAACTAACATCATAAGAATTGTATGGCAGATAGTAAGGAGAATTACTAATTAGATCTTGGGAGTGAAAGGGTTGAGCCTTTGAACCCTAAGAGTGAACAGCATCTAGTTTCTCTTTACAATAATACTGTTGAATCATTCATGTAAGATCATGAGAATAAGGGAAATGATCACCAACTTAAGAAGCTCGATTGTTAAATAAATTCTCCTTGTCAGTAACTTAGGAAATGTACAGATAACGGCAAGGAGATTATGCATACTGATGTTAAGGTGTAAAGGATTAAGGACGTGGAATACGTGTAAGAGTAATTTTCAATACAATGAAATGACTCTTCCGTTTGCACAACTGTAAAACTACACATACAGTGTGGAAGACATGTGGTGAGCTAGACCATTTGGTTTAATACACAGAAAAGTAAGAAGGTGAGCACGATTTCAGACTTGCATGCTCTCTTATAGCATGAGTAAACACTTACGACTTGATGAACACAACGAAGGTTAACGTTAAAGGCATGTCAGAATTTTTCGACGAACAAAGCCCTGTAATAAAGGCAGCACTACCTGACACTTACATCTGATATTTGCATTTCACCTACACTAATCTATATTCTTACCTCATTACGCGACAAAAACTAGATGAAAACTAACTGCAGCCATATCAACTTTCAATGCGCGTGTAATATTTGACAAAATACCGCTGGCGCAATGTACAGTCTGAAGCAGGGAACGGAACCTCTAAACGAGGCTAAGACCAGGGGTGCACTTAGGGGCCTGGGATGGAACGAAAGAGAACTGAAAGGACTCAAACGGCGATTTAAAAATTCTCTGTCGACAATGATTGTGCGCTGCTTTACTTGGAACAACGTTGAAGAGAAAAGGAGGCCAGCGAGCCCATCTTACTTGAAATTTTATGGTATGGGGCGTAAAACCCAGAGACTGGTCGAGACTCAACGGTTTCACCTTTGCTCACCGGCGGAAAGTTGAGTTTAAGTTATTACTTTTATATTTACCTTCCTTTTAGCAGATTATGTTGAGACTCAAAAGAAAAAAAGGGAAAAGAGGGAGTCAGTCAGTCGAGTAGTGTTTTTATAGCAATTAGCAGAAAAATCAGACAAGAGAGCGCTGTGGAGAAGCGAAAAGAAAAGGGAATTTAACCAACCACTCCTAAAATATCCAACAAATGAAACTCAAAACGAAAAAAAGTTGTCAAGGTGGTGGCTCGTGACGTCCAAGTAAAATGATTTTGACCTTCTATAACCTAGAATGAAGCACTTCCTTCATGATCGATCTCGTTATGACAAAGGAAAATTGAAACGTTATTTAGAATGGCTTTATGTGCCTTTTTTAAACTTCCAATCCCAATTCCACCGCTGGTAAGATCCCTATCCTTCGCATATTTTCATCCCTCTCGACTAAAGCCTCCCTGATCATTTGATTTCGGGCCTCGGCGCCGCGGTAGCCTAGTCGAGCCTATCGATCAGTCACCGCTTTCTGAGGAAAGGTAAAGAGGAAAAGAAATTTATCTCAAGAGAGTAATCAAAAGGAACGAAGAAGGGGAGGGGGGGGGGGGGGGGCATTATCCTTCTTCTTCCTTGCCCCCACTAACGCTGAGTCAAACGAGGCGATTAAGGAACTTAAGGCTCGTTAACATGCTGCCAATTGAAACGCAACAAGAGTGACGCAGGTTCCTGCGGTACGAGCTTGAGAACAAAATCAACTTGCAAATTATTTAGACGAGTGAGTATGCTCCTTGACCTTATTAGCGTTTCGCTTCACCGCAACATATATCGTTAGAAGGAGGAGGTTGCCAGTATAATCACCACGAAGTATCGGTGATTAAGCGGATGTAGGATATTACTTTAGGAAATACTTTTTTTCCCTAAGATGTACAGTGATTTTTTTCTTCACATCACTATCAACATGTCACGGTGAGATTGAGCATAGAAGAAAACTTTGACTCCTGAATGATCTTCATTTGAGCTTGACAATTGTCGAATGCACTTATGGTAGCAAAATTTAAGATAGGAAAGTTCATTTCATCTTCGCCGGTCACTTTTGGCTGGCTGCTGACATTTCAATATTCCCAATGGCGTGGCACATTTAAAGGAGGGGCCGGGGATGAAAAACTGAGGAGGGAGTGGGAACGGGTTATTGATGAGGACATGTAAGAACAAAACACCAGCGATGAATGCTTAAATGGAAGTTTAATGTGATCACTCTACATGCAATTGCAAGCGACAGAGCCGTCGCTAAATATGGCTGACAACCGTTCGGCCTAACTTCTTCTATACTACTCACTAAAGTTTACGATTAACACCTTTTTAATGTGCTGCACCTTAATAAACCAAAGAAGCAAAAAACCAAAACAAAACAAATAATGAAAAAGAGCTTAACACATATTCGACGCTCATGGTTATTTTAGTCTACTCCAACTTAAATGCTTTTGCTTAAAATGATTGATAACTGTGCATAATATGAAGGTTCATTCAGGGCAATTTCACGGTCAGTAGGCCTGAAATACACAAAAATAAGACAAGTTAAGAAACGGCTTAAGTTACCGAGTAAATTCATGTGACGTGTCAAAGTAAGATGGCCCCTTTTTTAACGAGCTCTCAAAGAGAATATGGATCCTTTGCCTACAAGATGTTTTTGCATTCCAAACGTAGGTAGTCTATGATTTCCAAGGTAGCCAATAAGTCAGTTACACGAATGAAGCTAACGTTAATTTCCATTTGTTTCCTGAAAGTAAGACTGAGATGGTACCCTGGCATTTTTTTAATATTGTAGTTTAGTCAGTGGTACACTAGCTAAAGAGCGTACGACGCTTAGTAGAGGGCGCCTTTTACTCTGAACCTGTCCTTTTCACTCTTCTTAATTTTCGACGGTCATCCACGAAAATTGCTTAAACAGCGAGTTCACCTCTCCCACTTCCCTTCTCTTTTATCGATCTCGGCTAAGTACTACTTTGGTCAACTACGAGTAACGTTTATTTTTATTCTCTCTGCCCCGCTTTCATAAACATTATCTGTAGATATGACTTGGAATGCGGGGCCAACTGACCTTAGAACTATGAGTTGATACCATTAAATGTCTTACCTTTTTTCTAAGCTTTGCATGGTACTGTCTTGCAGACGGTCTTTCCCTTTCCAACCATATCAGGGACACAAGAACATTCTCTGCACTGTGCAGTGTCATGCTTCAATTGTTTAAAAATGCTCTCCAAAATCATCTTCATTTGCCAGGAATCTGGCTTAGCTTTTGGTCCCTCGAAAGCGGGCTTCAGGTTGATACCTACACCTTGTGTTTCAGTAACAACCTGGAAGTATTCGTCATTTTGAGGTGGTCGGTAGAGTTTTATAAGTGACTTCGTTTCGGCTTTCGAAATTCCTTTCTTCAAGTAGGCATTATTGAAAGTGTCTATTGCAATGGCCCTCTTAATCCTAAATGACAGAAGCAATTGAAAGAAATAAATAAAGAATAAGTAACTAGTAAAGTCACCAAATAAGGCAAATAAGGGTTAAATCCCCGAAATTTTTTTCTATCTGTGAAGCGATTGGGTTCCGTTGACCACTCCAAGAGAATGTGGCAGAATATGAGAACGTCAATTGCAATAAGGTGAAACTTCGGATACATAGGTGACGAACAAGTGAAACTTGTTTCACTGAGCGTTTGATCGGCACGCCAACCTATCAACATTAAAATTGGACAGAGTGATCACGTTAAATTCTCCTTGCACTTGATCTATTAACTTTACGCAACTAGCAGACCCCAACGACAAAAAGAGGTTAATCTATCACCACCCCATTCAATTGGCAAAACTTATCAAGGTTTTGTGCAGTTGGTTATCGACAGCATCGCGCTTTTAAGCGTTCCGGGCGACTTCATCAGCCACAAAGCCAAAATTCTGTTACATATAAAAATATTCACAAGTTACTTACGGGAACTTCCCGATCAAGACAAGTCTGGCACCGATATCCTTTAGAGCCTTGACGACTGTTTCACTGGAAATGTTGCTATGATTGACTCGGATGCTGTTCGTGACGAGGACAATGAGCTTGGAGGCAGCAGGTCGGAATGGATAATCGGCAGCCTTCATCAAGCCAAGATAGCCATCGCTTTCTGGGAATTCCCTATTGCTCCTGAAAATTGAACGATACAAATCTCTTAAGACATGTGCGCTATCTTTATCTGTATCTGTTTGTTTTTATCCTTCAAGCCTTTCAAGTCATTTTTTCTACCCGCCTAAAATGTTATTGTTTTATGAAAGGTTTGAATGCACGATTTTCAGACCCTGTGTTACGGTGGGCATCCATTTACCGAACTGCACCACTTGCATTTTTCATGGGATAAGCAGCCGTTCAATCCGTGTTTCAATGGCAAAGTGTCTCCAAGTGTCTGTTTTCCCACCAAAGTTTTTTTAGGTCTCTTAAAAGCCACGGAAAGCCTGTCTAGCCAGGTTCTACACTAAGCTCATTTGCCCTTCACCAAGTACGGTTTGCAAGGATTCAAATCTAACCTTGGGACGAATCTCATGTTCCTGATGACATCAGTTGTGAAGTACTTGGCGCTGTTAAAGAGCTGACCCTTAATAGTATGCTCATGACCGGGCCTGTGCACTGGCACTTTACCGCTGAACCCCACAAGACCAAACTGCGGTGACATCCCCTTTGTCTTCATATATTGGTCGATCTGCTGCGTAAATGAAGGTAATAGAGCGGCCACAGGCTCCATATCTTCACCCTCGCTGCACACGAAAACAATGTCCACTTTACTCGAGGGTTTCTCTTTCCATGTCGAGTTCTTCTCATGCATGTTGCTTCCAACTTCACAAGATGCTGTGGACAAAAGGAACGAGGTGACCAAAATACTCTCTCAACAAGATTAAAGTGGGACTGCTGTTTCCGAGGTCACTGACATTGACAATTTGAATGCCGGGCCGAGCAATGAATTCAAACCAAATTATTCCCCGTGGTTGCTTGCTTTAGCCGTCAAACCTCCTCAGCAGTAATTCATCAACAACTTTATTTAACCCTTCATTCACTATAATATCACTATCACTGAATAATTTTTTTTGATTTACTGTGGTAAAGGTGGTTTCGCTATAGAGTGAAAATCAGGGCACTCAAACGATATAAAAAGATTGAAAAGAGACTGCAAATTCTTGGAATTGATAGGAAAAAGAACCACAGACGTTAAAAGAAAGACATGAAAAAATGCTGAAATATACCATTATCCCTTTTGCAATATTTCAATGCTATACACAAAACTGCGAGGATAATACTACTAATAATAATAAGTCAAAAAATTTAGTTCCTTATCACTTCTGGCTAGTGGATTGTAATTTTAGGTGCAGTCCGTTTCGAAAGAAGAAATTTTCAGTTGACGTGTATATGTTTATATCTGTGTAAATACCAAATAATGCGCAAGGTTCGATAGACGTAACCTAACTCTGGCGGATCTTATATTCACATGTTTGTTTTGTAGAAGAGCTTATAAATAAAAAAAAATCATTCGAAAATTGAGAGATAAGGATGAAATATTGCACCGAATGCTCTACTGACTTGGTGGGTTGAAGAAGAAAGAAGGGGCGAGGCGGTTTGTTTTCTGCGGATTAAGGACAATCTTTTCTTTCGTCCCTACGGTGAAAAAACTATTCAATTTGTCACAAAAGTGAA